ATCCTATGAGATGGGTAAAGACAACAGGCGCATGCCGCTGTACGCACAACACATGTCACAACCTCTTGACTACCTTTAACCCCATGGAGGAATTCATGCATGCATGCAGTTCACTAATGGCCCTTTAGTGAGCTATAAAAAGAGTAGCGTGCTGGTTGGGGTGCTGCTCACCCACACACGGCTCTTCACTGCCATAAACATGTGGAGCTGAGTGGCCCTCTCTGGCTCCAACTTACAACAATATTTATCACAGCACGTTAATGTGCCTTTCCTCAGTACACAGCAGTGACTCTCTCAACTCACCATGACAAACACAAACTGAGTGTGTGAGTGAGTGAGTGTATACGTGTGTGGGGGGGGGCTTTGTGGTAGTGCAGGCTCTTCAGAACATCTGTGCTAAATATTTCAGTTTATTTTGTTCAACCTTGCCTCTACACGCCACATCCGTAGCATATGACCAACACAGGCAATGGGCTCACCTGCCCGCTGTCATCTATTATAATGCCGTGTTCACACTCGGCACATTTTGTTTAATTAAAATGGTGCAATTGCTTTGTTAGTGAGGTTCATTAGAACATATGAGAACACTGTCATTCGAACCCTCACGCACATTAAATAAGCAGACTGAAACCATCTGAGAAGGTGAATCTGGGTTCATTTCCAAATGAACTCTGGTGCGGTTCATATGAAATATGAACCCAATATGGAGTAAAGATGTCTATATAGATAAAACTCAAAATAAACATTTTCTCTCTGTAGACCTTCTTTTCTTCCTGCAACAGACAAATCCCTGATGCTTTTGACACATTTTTACATGTGCATGTGTTTATCATCTCCTTATGAGCTCTAAATAGGTACACACAGTTTCGGTTTTGTTCTAAAATACTTGATATACACATCAACTGGCACGTATTGATTATATCATATAGTGTCACATTTTCAATGTGTTATGAAAGCAGTAAGAAACCAGAGGCCATGTGTTTTCACAGTGATTTCACTCCACATCATGGGAAAACTATGTGCAGCATCTTGTGCCTTACTGAATATCACAATACATACATACATACCTATAAGCTTACTCAAGCCACAGTGCAGCACGATTCAGATATCATGGATATAATTTGGATATTATCCCAGCTACTGTCGCTAAATGTATATCAAAAAATCTGCTGAATCAGCTGTGACGTTTGTCCATAAGACTTTTGATTACATCTTCAATGTCAATTATAGCCCTATTTGAGCTGGATTAGTTTTACATGGGGAGACAATGCAATTTGAGTGATTACCGAGGAGATTCGTGATTTTAACCCAGTACAAAATCGCAAACATCCGCTATGTAATAATGCCAGAGTAAATGACACTTAACAGCTCAGAATCATGGCATCTGTGCATCATCATGAACATCCATGTGATAACGTTTTGATCTGGGCTCTCTGGGGTAATTTGGCGAAATTACAGAGATCCTTTATCCCATATACAATCAGTCAGTCAAATCAGGCATAGATTACATTACTGGACTTTCTCTGGTAAAACTAATCCAGCTTGAATATGACTTAATTCAGTGTGAACGTAAAGAGAACCAGGACTAAAATCCAAAAAAGTATAATCTACTGCTTTGTTCTGGTCCAAGGGAACCAAATTACAAATGTAAACTCAATTTAAGTGTTTTTGGAGTCAAGGTTTTTACAAGGCTTTACTGAGAAACTTCAAATTTACTGTCCAAGGTAACTGACCGTACACTACAGATGCAAAGATTAGGCTGAAAAATACTGGAGTGTTCCTTTAGGTTTGCAGTAGTGCTAGATTTTGGCTCGCCTGCTAACTCATTTTCACATATAACCCACAAAAAAATACCACCTTCACATGCTGCTCTTCTGAATTACACCAGTCTATACAACACTCTATACAAGTTATAAGGCAAGTGACAAATTTGGTGAAAAAAAACACAACAAAAAAATATTAATCAAATTTCCAGACACTTAAGAAATGTGCAATTAAAAGAACTTGGCAGGTGGAAATGGATATAGCAAAAGACAAGAAGCACAGCAGTGTAGAGAAGAAAAAAAGTGTTTGTGTTTTGTTTCTCATTCCAGATTTCTCTGGTTCCAGATGACTTTGAGATGCCATGCGGTTTTAATGTTGGAGATGGGCTTTATTTGCCTGCTTTCAAGAGCACAGGGGGGTCTCAGCAGCCAGGCTGGGATAGGAAGGGAGGAGTGCAGGGCCGTCATGCAGAAAGTCAGAGAGGCACGGGCATGGCGGCGGGCGGTGAAAAAGCTCATAAATCCTGATTTGAGCAGGGCCCCGAGCCGGCAGGCGCGCTGCACCCACTACATTTCTTAAATGCTACGTCTGATTAAGTCTTCCCATTAGGTGACAGCTGAACTTTAACATTAATATGATAATATTGAAATAAGTGCGTGTTATTTACTTAGCGGCGGGGCGGCGATGGAGGGAGGCAGGGGAGGGGTGGTGGAGGGTGGGGAGGGAGTCGGGTAGGGTCGGGGGGGGGATGATGAATGATTTCTGGACAGCTCCTGTGACACCAGGCAGCCGCGGCCCCTCTAATGAGACTTGACAAAATGGAGACATATGCAGAAATACTGGTTACAGTCTACGTCCCCGACAACCTCCCTCTCTCTCTCTCTCTCTCTCCCTCTCTCTCCACACCCTGTCCTGATTGTCTACAGCCACTGAAGCATCTATTTCAATTGGCACTTCCTTCCTGGCCCCAGGATTTTAAATTTAGCTGGTGTCATTTACATATTACTCTTAATCAAAAAAGAAAAAAAGAAACAAAACCTTGTCGTCACGGTTCAGGGAGAGGCGCAAAGGCACTTTATAAAATGGAGATGTGACAGACGTTAAAGTAAATTCTGTGTGAGCGTGTTTGCTTGTGTGTGTGTGTGTGTGTGTGTGTGTGTGTGTGTGTGAGAGAGACAGAGCGAGAGAGAGACTGTGTGTGAGAGAGAGAGAGAGAGAGACAGAGAGAGATAAAGAGAGAGATGGAAAAGGTAGCATATGGCTGTCTCTCTACGTATATAAGTGAAGGAAAAAAGAAGGAGAATGTGTACATTGCCTTGATTATCTGAAAAATTCTCTTTAACCAGGAAATGTGTAGTTTTAGGAATCTTTAAAAGTGGACACTTCACACAGTCAGACTGGGACATTAAGGGAATAGTCCAATGTTCTTCACCCGCATCTCCATCTACCGCAATCTTGATGCATTTCCACTTAGAACAGAAACCACTGTTCACTCAAAATACACTTCAACATGGTTCTTATTAGGAAATCATTTGTCTGGATTTTTCCAGGATTTTACATTTACATTTACGGCATTTAGCAGATGCTCTTATCCAGAGCGACTTACAATTGGAGCGTTTTTTTTACACAGGTAGGTGAAGGTAGTGTTAGAAGTCTTGCCCAAGGACTCTTATTGGTATAGTGTAGTGTGCTTACCCAGGTGGGGATTGAACCCTAGTCTACAGTGTAGAAGGCAGAAGTGTTACCCACTACACTATACACTATTTTCCAGCACATTTTCCACAACTTCCATTCATGACAGCTGTTTCTTACAAAAATGTCAAACTACAATTAGACTTATATCTATCCTTAACATTAATGTCAACAACACATCTCTAAACACCTTATGGACAGACTCAACCAGGTAAAAACACTGCAAAGCTATAATGCTTCCTAGCTGTCAGTATTTAGTAACCTCACACTAATGGCAAAAACACAGCTTGACCTCAAATAAACAAATATTACTAATCATTGCCCTCTAAAGCACCATTCAGTAGTTGTTTTTCATAAGACTCATGGAGTGTCTCAATAAAAGCATTTTTTGTGTTCTTTAATTTACATTTATTTGTTTTAACCCAACTGAAAAAACACAATTCACAATTTTGTTTGTTGTGACGTAAACATATAATTCTAACAAGTGTAGATAATAAATGTGATCGACTTAAATAGTTGTGAGCAGGTGGTTAAGTACTAACTGTTGCCTATCACAGAGTACACTAGTTCAGCTTTAAAGGACTGTATGAAAACTATATAGGAACAATTTGGCACACAAGTATCATCTCAACCTGACTCTCCTGATAAATACCCTCGAGTCAACAGATTTTCTGTTCTTTTCTAAGTACAGGTAAATTGTCTGGTAATCAATAATATAGTGCACATGCAGTACATTTACTTTTAGAAGTATATAATACTTTTAAATGGCATATGTGCCATTTAAAAGTACTATGTACTTTATGGATATGTATATGGATATGTACATAATACTTTTAAATGGCACATACTTTTTTCTACTATTTTTGTTTTTCCTCAAGTTCTGTTTATAAAGTTTGTGTGGTTTTATGTACTAAAGTCACTCATATTTCATTTTCACCTGACTATTTTACAACCTCTGTCTATCCCTCAGAATTAAACAGGCTGTTTTTGTTACTGTGCCTTTAGAAATGATATATGTAATTGAGATCAGTTCTGATTGGCTGCCCTGCAATGTGCTTCATTCAAAAAGCAGTCTGGCGCTGAAACACTCCTCATAACTTCAGCATGAATGGGCAGGGCTAAACTGCTAAACAAGCAATTATAAACTTGGTTTAAACTGTTATTGTACTGTTTTGCAACTTGGTTTTGCATATATGGACTGTATGGACTGGGAAGTGAATGGTTCATATTGAAACTTTTACAATGTTTATATAGTAGGTCAAAATTTTTTTATAACTAAAATGTGATTTTCCATGATCTGTGCTCTTTAAGAAACAAGCGTGATGTTTATAGTTAACAGATTCTGGACAAAACTTAAAAATCGCCTGCACCCGGGTGCTGTTTTCTTTTTACCTTAAACTGCATTTCTTTCCACACATTCAAGCAGTTTCACATGGGGTGTGTGTGTGTGTGTTTGTGTGTGTGAGTGGCGTGCTCATGCACTGGTTTGTACATGAGCAGTAGTTCAGGCATCTACAGAGGAGCAGCAGAAACAGGGTCCCTACCTTCCTCTTACCTTCTCAGCATGCCGGTCAGGATACGTGAGCTTTTGCCCAGGTTAGCATCCGTCTCTCTCAGCTAGAAAGAGGAAAAAAAAATATATGAGAGATCGCATCACATCACATTGTAATCACATGCATGGGCTGCAAAGCAAGGCAAAAAGACAGAAGGATCATGTTTGGAAAGTATAAGAATTACAACACAAAAGACTGATTATAACTTGTGTTTGGCATATTAATAGATGCTGAAGCATCTTCCTTATATCCAGTTGTGAATTCTTTTTCATTTTGCTGTTTCATTTTTTTCCCTCGCTCGCTGTCAAAAGATGTTTTTTTTTTCATTCTCTCAGTACTTTATGTGACTCTCTGAGGGAGATGGGAGCGAGACAGCCATTTCTCTCGAGACATGCGTATGAGAGCGTATGTGTGTATTTAGGAATGCTGACGTTGCTCTGGAAGAGAAGTCAGTGAATTCTGGTTGTAGTCAGATATGTGCTGCAGGAGGCCCTCCCTGCTAAAGGCCTTTTCTCTCCCCATGCTCAGCAGGGTGCCTCTCTGCTTTACTGTCACTCTCTGGAAAGCAGGCTGCACTGTGCTGCACTGTGTTTTGTGTGAGTGTGTGTGTGTGTGGTGTGTGTGTTGGTGGCCAGGCTCAGAGACAGATGTGGTTTTGGGCGGGTTTGGGTTCTGGCACCAGCAGCAGCCTGAGAGCCGCCTGATGTATCTCTCAACGATGGATCCATCCCATGAGAGTTCCTCTAGCTTTTCCCAAAACACTTTCTCTCTTTCTCTCTCTCTCTCTGTCACATGGTCATTACTGTGCTCATTCTGAAAAACATGGTGAATCTGTCCAAAAATTGAGGACACACATAAAAGTTCTAAACTAACTAAAGAGTGTACCAATACAACATAGTAAATGATAGTTAAAGAGCCCATTTCATGGAAAAAAGTTTGTTTTTAAAATAGTTTGACCTACATATATACAAAGTTATATGCAAAATTTTGGATGCCCCTGGTGAAATTACACATTTTGTTGATTTTCTAAGTGAAAATAATCAAATTCTCCAACACACGTATCGCCGCTGTCAGAAGAAAACCTTGTATCTCCATTTTTGTCTATTTTCAGTTTTTGGCATAATTTGAAAATGCCTGTTGCCCTTTGCATTGTGTGTAAACCAATGTGCTGTGGACTAAACGAAACAGCCCAAAATTACTTGGAAAAAAGTCTGGTTCCATTAACTTACATTAAAAGAAAAGTAGGTTTTTCTTTCCTTTTCCTGTACAGTTGCCATTTTGGAGATACGAGGTTTTCTTCCAACAACAGTGTCATGCACATTTAAACCACAGTTACTGTTAATTTGCTAAAAAAATAAAAGATTAAATGTGACCTGAGTAAAAGTTATGGCACAAGTTATATTTTATTTTTCCAATATGTTAAACTCAGCAAATATATAGAAATTGTGAAATTTCATGAAGCACTGATTGGCCAAAGAAGAAACTGGATGATGACTAGAAATTATACTGGGCTGCCATGAAGAGAGCTTTGGAAATGGTTAAGCGAAAACATTAACATACGTTAACAAACATTAACATATTTTACGTAATACTGATATTTGTATTTATTCTAATATTAGTGTTTTTCTGACCAAATACACTCACACTGCTCAGATAAACAGCTTTTTAAATATAGTTTTCTTGGTTGTCTAAGTCTGTTGCGCATTACTGTATCTCCATCTTTTCAGCCAAAAACAGCTCCGCCTATTCACACTAAAGATATTTCAGCCTGGACTACTTTTTGAACGAGGTAAGATATAGGGCAGCCAATCAGAACAGAGGTCATTTACATATATCAGTCTTAAACGTACAGTAGCAAAAATAGTCTGTTGAATTCTAAGGGATGAAGAGTGGTTGAAAAATGTTCATGTAAAAATAAATTATGACTCTTTTTTGGTGCATAATGCTACACAATAGCATAAGTGGACCTTATGGGAAAAAATATAAAGAGTAAGTACAGGCTCTTTAAATATTCAGTGTAAGATAACACTATAATACTGTAAGTATGGAAAGCTCTTGTTCCCTAGTTATCTCATATTCAAGAGAAAAAAAAATCAAAACCTCTCAACCACACAAAATACATACAGTATGCATTATAATCACAATCTAGAGGAGGGAGACTGTTGAGTTGTCCCTAAAAATTACTAGATTTTAAAACCATGCAAGACTTGTTCATCTCCTGGGCCTGTGTTTATGTGTGAGTATGTGTGGAGGAGCGTCAGCAGGTAGTTAAGAGATCCTCCAAAATCTCTCTGATCTCCTGTCTCTTATGCAAAGAGCAGTTTACAGCCCTTTACATCCAATGTCTTCACATCTTGTTTTTCTTTTCTTTTTCCCCCCCTTGCTTTTTTTTGCCCAGCAAAATGCCTTTAAAGTGTGAGAGGCCAGTGGAGGCTCCAGGGAAAGGAGGGCTATTCTCCACAGACAGCAGACCTTTGAAAGGAAATGTTTTATTTCCTTTGAAATGGGCTGGCAGCCCAACTGCCATGTTGTGATCTTTAAGCATCCCTCATAAGGAGCCATCAGAAAGGCCCCTGACTGAGCTCCCTCTACCTGGGGGTGGGGGGGGGTGGAGGTTGGGACACAACACTCCCAAATGGAAAGAACAAGGGTGAGGAAGAGTGTGAAAATGTGAAGTAGGAGGGAGGAAAAAAAAAGAAATGGCAAATGCGGAAAATTGAGACATAGGGAGAGAGAATGAGGAAACGCAAGAAAGTTATAGAAAGAATTGGAGGCGGCAGAATTGGCTGACAGTGGTGCTGATAGATATTCTGTGGAATGGCAGAAGACTCTGAAAGTACCCTGGTGCTCCTGGAGATTATTACAGTGTTAGCCAAAGCTTAACTTAGCTCCATGCCAAATCTGAGCACTGAGCATTTCTCAGACACAGTTTCTGATTTACAGCCTAGTGCAGCTTAAATGTCAGCCAGTTAGCATGTCCCACAGCACTATTTTCAGAGGAATGAAGACACCTCTCCAAACCCTGCACAAGTGGGTAATAACCATGTGGATGTGATAGTATGTGTATGCATTAGGGCTGCACGATATGGACAACATGCCATTTTGCAATTATTTTGCTATCTTATTGCAATAAGCCTTGTCATAAGGAGCTGTGTAAAAGTCAGAGACCAGCTATCATTTATTTAATTTCCTGTCAAAACAATGTCATGGCGTCTTTTCTTAAGCAGCTTCATGCCAATTTGTCAAGGTACGTTCGTGGCTGTGGTATTGAGTTGGCTAGTGTGCTTGTAGCCTAGACATTAGCTAGATGGTTTCTAGCTTTCTTGTAGCAAATGAATAGAAATGATTTATCAGTAATACTCTGTCATAAATAATAACATATTCATCTAACATTGGTAGCTCGGCCATTTGTTTCCTGCCAGAGGCTTAACAGTAGCTAACTTCAAATAGCTTAACATTAATCAACTAAGCTGACGTTAGCAAGGTTTCTTTGACTGTAGCTAACAGTGTTTAGCAGTATTCTACTGAACTCTCCTATAGCGCTTGTCTTCATAGGCTCATCTTGTTAATCCTGTATATTTATCTTCTATAGTGGCGTCATCAAAAAACAATACTGATGCCGTGCAGTTTGACAAGCACACTAGCCGACTCAATACCACAGCCACGAACGTACCTTGACCAACTGGCATAAAGCTGCTTAAGAAAAGACGCCATGATTGGTGCGCTGACAGGAACCGCCCCTCCACAGCTCTGATTGGCTGGAGTTTTGGCACCAACGTTCAGACATTTTACAGTGAGGAGATGTGAAAGTTGAACGCGCGCTGCGGAGCTGAGAGCAGAAATGTGTGCGTATCGTGCGAGTTTTGAAGGTGAAGAGCATGATTGAGGTTTTCCAGTTTTCAGTGAAAAAGTGTTTTGCACGTATGAGTTCTGAGAGGGAAACGTATTGTTGTGCAGATTTTCAAGTTTTGAATGAAACCAAATTGTTTTGTTGAGCAAATCCAAAGGCGTTTACCTGCGCACTTCTTTCTTTACATCCTTTCAGACCCATAGTGTTGAGAAGTCTTCTCACAGTGGAAGCATGGAGAGAAACACCTTTGGACTTTTGTCTGAAGTAAAAGTGGAGCTTAATTTTCTCCTCTCTCTCAAAAATGAAAGTCTTAAGTGCTTTTTATCTGATGATTACAGTTTTGATAGTCTTGCAAGCTTGTTAGGAGTCTCATCTTTATAACTTCAGTTTTAGAAACTCCTGTTTATTTACTTATTTTCCTTATATCTTATCTCCTCAGAAATAACTTCTAAAAATGAAGACCTTGTAATGGCTGTTTTGACTGTAAACCAAATAAATGAAGGGTGGTGTCTGACTTTTGCCCAGTACGGTACACTAAAAACACCACTAAATCCTTGAAGCAATGTGATTTATTATTCAGTATTCCGACCAAAAAAAAAAAACAACTTTTATCTGAATGTCTTGATTCATCTATACAACTGTACATCACACAATCATCATCATTATTCAGCGACTGGTTAGTGGCTCATAAGCATATTCCAAAGCCAAAATTGTGATGATGATTAGCAATTATTATATTGTGCAGCCCGCATCATGTATGTTTAGCTTACAATGAAGCAACTGACTCGTGATATTCCTTCATCATGAACCAACACGTGTGGCTAGAGACTGAATGCCTTTGAATGGAACATGCAAGAACAAACCGTTGTTATGCTTGGTGTGTGAAGACCACTTTGTGGTGGTGTGGTATTTCTATGACCATTTAGACAGTCTTACATCATGCATGACTTCACTGCATGGGACAGGCTAACTACAAAGACGTCTTATTAGCACGATGCTCCCTATCAAACGCCCTTTTATCTGTGCTGTACATTTAATCAATCCGTCCACTGCCATGGCTATGCTAATGCAGAACGAGAGAGAGAGAGGCAGGCTGAGATCATGGGTAGGGCATGAACTGGTGATAACTGCCTGCACTTGAGAGCACTCTTGCTCTCTTAGCAAGCAAGTGATCTGCAGTGCTTCATGTCCTAACAAGTTAGCTTCTGATTGTGCCAGCTACTTGCAATCACATGCAATTCCTGGGCTAGATTTGGTTTGTTTACAATAGACAGGATGAGCTGAAGGAAAAGCATGTGTGTATGAGTACAAACTCACCCGGTCTCTGGATCTCTGGATCTTCTCACGGTCGCTGTGCAAGTTGGATAGAATCTCTTGTCCTATTTGCTCTGTAAAAGAAAACAATAGGAAGACAGCATATGAGAACCGGAGCTGGTGTTAATATAGCTGGCCACCACACCTATTCCTCTTTATGTTGAAATGCAATTCACTGACTGGTCCCTGAATGTTACATCCAATAAAACTAAATGTTCAGCAGTACAGTACAGTACAGGAGTCCACATAGCCTAAGATGATGTTTTCATCTGGAGATAAGGATAGCGAGCTCCCTCTCCCCTCCCAGTAATATAAAAGGTCTTATGTCTTTTAGTTATTTGGGCATGGGCCAACAAAAATGTTTAGCACTCAAACTAGAGATGCACTAATATGGAATTTCTGGGCCGATGATGATATTAATACATGACTGATATGAAAATTTTGTGGCGGACAACTACACAGATTTGAAGAAGCTAATAATTTTACTATCCAATAATATTAGTAAATGTATTTTTATATTCATATTATATATTTTAATGTTATAGTAGTGTCTACATGTAATGTTTGTGGTTTCAGTTTGTGTTTCTTTTCATTAAGTTCATTTTTAATTATTTATTTATTCATTTGTTAGTTTTTATCATTTTATTTTTGTTATTCTAAGCATAATAGTATTTTGGGTTCAGATTAATCATTGCATTGCTGACATATAGTTTAATAATGAGTGTCTTAGACTGGGTTCCCCACTGGCACATCTGTTTAAAGTATATCAATCAGGCCCAAAATGATACCTGGTAACACCTGTTGTGGCTGATATTGATACTAATAACCAATAATTCCATATCTCAGTGGAAAACAAGAACAATCCATATATAAAGTGTATCAGTTAAAACGATAGATCATTTGTAACATTTTACATAGCCATGGTATAACTAAATCAGACAAACATATTTAACAGTCATTCTAATATGAAGCAACTTACAATAGTGAAAGTAGCATTAGGAGTCTTGTCCAGGGGCTCTTTTTATGGCAATATGTGCGTGTGAACACATTTGTTGGTATAGCAGTGGTATTCCTGCCTGGACTGGGAATACAACCTCTAATCTTCTACATGTTATCCACTATGCCATCCATTTCAGTGGCTAGAATGAAAATGCACACCATAGTGACTACACATGCTGCAGGGCATATGTGAGCACAACAAGTCAGTAGACAGTAAGATATTGGTTGTAATTATTAGCTGTAATTCCATATGAAATCACCGGACCACATTCATTTAATTTTTCAATTCATCAAACAAATAAGCCTCGGATAAATCTTGCGCACATAATTCTAACTGAACTACACTGGTTGTTCATAATCTTAATTCAGCAGATGCTACATATATTGTTGCAAACTTTAACCTCCTAGATCAATAGCTTTTCAATGCATCATAAGACTACACTGGGAATTGACCATAGCCAAGACATATATGCTTTCTGGAAAAATTGGCACAGGACTATAGTCTCGACTCTTCTGTTGGGCACAGAGGCCTCAGCACACCATCAATTTCCTACCACTCACATTCACATCTTAACCAAAGGCATTCTGTCAGCGAAACTCAACTGGGATTGCCAGGCAGATGTTGTATTTCTACTTGTTAACATCTGTTTCATGTGCTGGAGCTGGTAAGTGAAAGTTCTAGCTGTGATGTGCTTCAAGGGCAGTGAAGGGAGCCTAATTAGAACCCTGAGCCAAGATGCCTGGGGATCTCCAACTAAAACTACACTGAAAACTTGAGACTCACTGCACACCAACACTGCACTTTTAAACTTCCAACATGTCCCAGCATGCATCGTGCGTTTGAGCCTAATCAGCGCATGCAATATTCAGGAAACAGCTTCCTTCTAAATGCTGCTCATCTGTCACCAATCTAAACCCATTTACACACACTTAGAGAACATCCACAACAAGGCATATGACAAGCTCGTCAATGGTCACTGTCATGCGCGCGTCCCATGGGTCACAGAAAACAATAAACAAAAAAAAAGAAAAGAAAGAAAAAAAAATTCCCCTCCTGTCCTCCTCCCCCTCCTCCTCATCGTCCAAAAACACTCCTGCTACAAGTAGACACCACATTAGCAGTTTGGATGGGAGGAGGAAAAAAAACAGAAGTGAGGAATCTTTGCATGGATCAAAGCGAGCCTTTCAAATGCACCAAACAATCGTGAGTAAACAACGCACTCATGGCTGGATTACATTACACAGGTGCAGCATTCAAAGAGCCGGCATGCTGCGCGCCTGTTCAGGGAACACCGCGAAATGGGCTGCATCTGGCAGCTCAGCACTCCCTCACAGTATAGAGGGAGGGAGAGAGAGAGGGAGAGAGACAAAGAGAGAAAGAGAGAGAGAGAGGGCAAACACGCCGTCGAATTGAAGGCCCGTAGCCACGCAGCAAATGTATCTCCACCTTCATTAATTTCTAATCAGAGTGGAGACAGATTGAAGGATACCCAGATTAGATAGAGCAGTCAGACAGATATGTGACCGATAGGGCAGATTAAAAGAGTGAGGAGTGATATTAATAACCATCATAACAGCAGCCAGCCAACAAGGCGCAGACAAACAGCCGCGACAGAGTGGCGGAAATCTTCTGTAAAGAAAATTAAGAGCTGCTATCAGTCTTAAAACAAATGAGCGTGATCCCCAAGGCTGGAAACAATGCAGCATTCTCTCTGATAGCCAGAAGCATGAAGAAAAAGACAGTCCAGTTCAAACGTCTTTACAGATGATGGATGAGATCAACGGCTTAAGGAGACGAGGCACAAATGAAATAATTCTGTCAGCGTGGTCCTAAAAAATAAGGAAACATACAGCGACAGCACAAAATACAAAATACAAGAAAGCGGAAGCAGAGCAGAGAGCACTGATTGCTGGGCTAGTCTACAATGTCTTTGAGCACTTAAAAATTGGAGCTGCTACTGATTAACAGGTTCTCTCTGCTGACCGTGATATAGAGAGAGAGTCAAGGTTCCTTTTTCAGGGTCAGGCACTCTTAAGCAACCTTTAACTGCAATTGTTCACACTCATGGGAGTAACGGCTCACAATAATGAAAGAACTGAAATTATTAAAAATAAATCAGAAAAAAGGAACAAAGTTAACAAAGCAGTTTCAATGTATAATCAAGAAATGCAATATGAATATGGACATTAACCAGTTTATCCTATTGGTCAACTGGTCACAATTGTGATCAAAATGTAGTTGAGTATATTAATGTGCTTTCTACTGAAGTGAAAAATATAAATTAAATAGATCGTCTTAATTTCTTCTGAACCCTTTAATGTGAATAATGCAATTGGTCACATCACCCTAGCCATTTACTACAACCATGCACCTCAGAAACATGCTCTCTGCAACAAAGCACTACAAAAGATAGTAAATAATACATATAGAGGTACCATATTTGCTATATTTAATACTTAGAGTTTATTATTGATATTTTAATGAGATTATACTTCCACATTTCTCTTATACTACTAGCAGACATGAACATGTGAACAATCACAACTGTGATAGACGTTATAACACTGAGTCTGACTGTATAATAATAATTAATCAAACTTGAAATACACAATTGCAAAGTATTCACAATGTTTAGTATTCACAATGTTTATTTGTAAGGATTCAATTAAACAAAAGTTAATATTTCAAGCTGTATAACTTAACAGCTACGTGTTATAATTATCAAATAACCAAATGATTAACATTGATAACAATGGTTATGGCTAACAATGGTAATGGTAAACAGGTTTCTATAATTCAAAAACAATTATCAAATATTTGTATGTTTCCAAATTGTTAATAACTCAAATGGTAGCATTTATTAATGGACATGTAACAAGAAATAAGAATGTAATAGAATGTAATAACAAGAAATAAGGTTATTTATGAGGAAGTTTTTTAAATCTTTGTTTCACTATTGCTTGCTGTGTGGTATGAAATTGGACCTACTTGATTAACTGCAATCATGAATCAAACTTCTATTTTCCTCAATCTTTCCAAACCAATCCAAAAAGGCTTGCATAATGTGGTAAAATTCTTGTGCCAATTTTGTTGTTTAGAGACTCTCTATAATTGGTATAAATAAGTCTGTTTTATGATGCACACAATACTGGATGTTCAGCGTTCTAGAAGTACTGACTAAAGCCTTGATATACTCATGACATATTTCACAATGATTATGACGTAACATTTCTTAACACTGCTCACCCCTAATAACCATTCTGAAGCATCACAAGCTACACAAATCTACATAACTGAACACACAACATTAAAAACAAGTGTATTTACTGGGCTGAGAACAGCAAGCTTCTTTATGAGTGTACATACGAAATGTATGGTATGAAAGCAATCCGTACACCGCAGTAAAACACTGTAAAACACTTTAATGACTCCTGCTCCAGTCTCCCCAGCACAGAGCTTAAAACATAAATATTTCCAACAGTTAAAGGACGACAAATTGATGTTCCCATTAAGTACACCACCCCCCCTCGCCAGCCCGCTCCCCACTGGACAATTAGCTGTGTACACACCGCCTCCCATGGGAGAGAGGAGCAGCACCGATCTGCCACTTTGCAACCAGTGTTCTCTGGCTCTCTATGGCTCTGTTCCTCAGCTTATCTGTTTCTGGGAGTCTATATGTTTCACTGTATCCATCTCTCTCTATTAACCCCCCCTGAGTAATGTGAACTGGTGGAGTCCGAGCAGCACAGGCAGGCAGACGCTGAGTTTGGCTGGAGAAAAACAAACACAGACTTTGAGGAGGAGGATGAGAGATGACTTCCCTTTCCTTCCTGCTGCTCGAGAGCCTTGAGATCCTTCTCTTCCTGCTGCTGAGCACAGCAAGCCCTGTCTCCCCTCCTTCACCCCCATCCAAGCCTGTGGCCATCAGAGCTTCTAGTGCATGGCACACTGTCCAGCGCAAACTGAACGCAACTCCAATCATATGCCAGTTAATATAAACATAACACAAAGGTAGTGCATGGCAATATATCATATATATGGACTATTGGTGTCACAGCATGACACTGGTATCTT